GGTTTCATTCGTCGGATGACAGAGGCTTCAGCGAAACGAAGCAAGCTCGCGTTGTTCTGTCTGCTGATAACCTTGAATGCGTCACGTGGGTTTTCGCACAAGGTACAATCGAGCAGATGTTGAGATATTGAGCTGGCAGGGAGTTTAGGGCCACTATTTGCCAGGTTCCGTCGAACATGTTCCGTGATCTCAGTGTTTTATTGTTTTTCTTATTGACCCTTTTTGAGATGCATTGCTTTACTCTTTCAATGATTTGTCTGTAAGCGGTTCAATGATAAGACACGAAATAATCTGAATTCAGGTTTTCCCATACAAATGTTGTTCGTTCTTGCTCTCCTAAGATTTCTGAAGGGAATTGGCTGCATGCATTTTTTAGAGAAACGCCTCCCTCGTGACGAGTTTCGTTCACTGTATAAAGTAGGGTCTTTACATTGTTCCATTTCGCAAGAAGCCGCACGTATTGATGCTTATAAGGAATGTATGAGGGTGTCCATGTATCCGCGTCGGTTTTGCACAGCACTGAGGGATGACCATCTACAAGTTAACTCTCGGAATTTGCGACGATACACGAGGCTTCAGATTGAGGCTTCTGTGCATCGTATCACACAGCTGAAAGTCAGTTTTGGATGCGTTGGACCTCTTTTGAACAGTCTCAGTCTTGTTTGTCGCACGAAATTTTATGATTTCTTGCGAATGCTTCAGCTCAAAACGCGATTGTCAACAAGACAGCAAATTTTGCACCATTTGTCTGCTGAGCGTTTGTATGACCAACTTCCATTTAACCCGCAGAAATATGTGGTAAACTTGTCCAAGGTACCGCTTAGTCGCCTCCAAATTGAAGCACTATCGCTGAGTTTCAACATCTCTGTTCACACTGGTAAATGTGACCGCATAGGGGTTGAAGCACAGTTTGAACGCCTGCAAGAGCAGTTTTCTGGTCTAACTCCGTCAACCGCAGGCGCAAGTAGTTGGTTTAAAGCCAAGGCAATGGACTTGGCTAACCAGTTTTGCATCACTGAGGCTGAAAAATCAAGTTTTCTCACGAATCAACATTTTGTTTCATTGCTACAGCTACGCCTAAATGAGAAAGTTGTGTTACTGAGACCTGCTAAGGGCTCTGGAGTTGTCCTCATGAGTAAAAATGATTATCTTCAAAAGATACAATCGGTGCTCACGAATGAGGGTAGCTTCGTTAGAGATCTGTCAGGGAAAGACAACGGAAAAAGTAGAGAACTTGGTAGCGCGTGAGCTACGAACACTACACAAAGAGGGACTAATCGACGCAAAAACTATGGCGCAACTCCGCCCCCGAGGCTCAAGATTTCCTCGTTTGTATGGATTGCCAAAAATACACAAAGAAGGGGTTCCACTGCGTCCTATTCTTTCAATGGTTGCGGCGCCGCACCAGAAACTGGCACTATGATTGGTAAAGCGACTCGCGACTGCACGTGCTGAGCTAGCGGTTCACAGTCTAGAAGACACTTTTGAGTTCGTTGACAAACTTCGACACTTGAATGTTCAAGCTATGCACATGGGGTCATTTGATATCTGTTCACTTTTCACGAACGTTTTTTTTGGATGAGATAGTGAGCACCATACGTATGCATGCGGACAAAGTCGGCCTGCTTGCACACCGATTGAAGACCTTACTCAGCATTTGTACGCAAGACGTCCAATTTTGCTTTGATGGGGATATATATCGTCAAATTGAAGGCGTTGCAATGGGTAGTCCTCTCGGACAGATTCTAGCTGACATCTTTATGGATCATCTGGAGTGTAAATTATTACGCGATGTCATTGGAGCAACACACTTTTACACGAGGTATATCGACGATACTTTTGTTGTAGTTGACATTGTCCAGCATGCGAAAATCCTATCGGAAACGTTAAACAAATGCCATCCTAGTATCAAGTTCACTATGGAAAGTGAATCAGTGGATTTGTTTCATTTTCTTGACGGTGCACTTAAACGAAGAGCAGATGGTCCACTCATAAGATCGATTTACCGGGAACCGAGCTGGACCGGACAATACCTGCATTTCAACAGTTACTGTCCAATGAACTATAAACGACCTCTAGTTCGAACTTGTTTTGTTAGAGCACACCGAATATGCTCTGAAGAGTCAATCGAGGCTGAGTTACGATACATCGAGTCTAACCTACGCAATAACGGCTATCTGAATAAATTTGTTGCCAGGATGGGAATGAGGTTGCTAAGAGAGAAAAACGAATGGATGTCCCAAAGAAAAAGGCCTTCATCACGCTACCATACAAAGGGGAACAGAACGACAGAAGATTGTGCTACCGATTACGCCAAGCCATAACAAGGTGCCACTACGCAGCTGAGCTCGTGTTGTGACATCAAACCAAGAAGCTGTTCCATGAATCCAACTTGTATAGGCCTCACTCTCAGATTACCGCCTCATGTGTTTACCAATACACATGTACTTGCAGTAGCATGTACATTAGCCGAATCGAGAGAAGACTATCAACTAGGTTCATAAAATATGTTCCACGGAACCTGGCAAATAGTGGCCCTAAATTTCCTTCCAGCGTAATCACTCAGAATCTGCTCGATTTCACCTTGTGCGAAGACCCACGTGACGCATTCAAGGTTATCAGCAGACAAAACAACGCGAGCTTGCTTCGTTTCGCTGAAGCCTCTGCCATCCGACGAATGAAACCTAACTTTTGCAAACAGGTCGACCTTGTGGCCAGTGTTGCCTTGCCCTGGTAAGACGTGGGCGATGACCTTGGCTTTCTCAGTGTTTTATTGATTTCCTTGTTGACCTATTTTCAATTGCATTCCTTTACTCTTGCTACGATTTGTCTGTAAGCGTCTGAATGAGAAGACACGAAATAATCTGAATTCAGGTTTTCCTGTACAAATATTGTTCGTTTTTACCCTATTAAAACACACCTGCAGTTGAGCACCGTTGCAGGAGTATCACCCGCTACGATCGGTAAACGTCCGTCGTTTTCGTTTAACCTGTTGTAGCTGCGCGTCGCGTCCCGAAACTTTTCCGTCACAGTCAGTAGTCGTAGTTCATCTCCCTTATGGATGTGGCTTTTGAGTCAAAAGCTTGTGGCAAGGTGAATGGATTAAAATGTTGCACAACTACCTAACTAATCACGTTGAGCACTCGATATCCTGCTTGGTTCGGATAAATAGAGACTTTGTCTCCAGCACGTCAGCTCTACCGGATAGAATGTTCGGTTTTGTTGTTTTATATGAAGGCGTTAATTGTCGAACACGATCGAGACTATTCGGTCTGAGTTGACTGTGCATAATCTAACTTAGTTGGAAGGATTCGGAGTTTAAACATGGTTGGTAAATGTCCCTCTAGTGATGTTATATATCATAGGTATACGCTCGGGCAGTGCGTTTTCCAGAACGCCACTTTAAGACCTTACTCGGCCTTTCCAACACAGACGTCCCATCTAGCTTCAACGGAACTTATACTAACAAACTGAAGGCCTAGCGACAGACAGTACGCCTGGACCAAGTTATGTTGGTATTTTAGTGGGTAACCTGGAAAATAACCAATTACGCCATGCCGTGTAAGAGACACGCTTTTACACCCAGTACGTAGATGGCACTTTTGTGACCGCTAGTACTGGTTAGAAAACATAAAACATGTTGGGAATGTTGGACCGATGTCACCCCGAAGTCCTATCGGAGAACACCTCTCACTTACTAGATGTCACTTTGAGTAGAAGAACGGATTGTTTGCTCATAAGATCCGTTTATTGTAAACCGAGTTGGCCGGGGTAGTATCTAAATTTTAGCAGTTACTGCCTGATGGGCTATAAACGAGATCGCCGAATCCGCTTGGAAGCGTGAACAACAAGTAAGTTGCAGCTTACAGTGTCTACCTTATGTGGACACTGATGCTCCGGATAAATTCATCGCCATATATGGGGAAGATATTGTCAGACCGGAAACAGCCCAATGTCTTCAAGAGAATGTGCCCATTCCACTACCTTCCAAAGGCGAGCGATATAATACTAGGTTCTTCCACTGCCAACACCAATCCATAGAAAGCTGCTTTCACACAACCTGCCGAATAATCTGGAACCAAATCAAGTAACTGCTCACGGATCTCAGTCTGCTGGGGATCGAGGCATCAGCCGTTATTTATTATGCCCCTAAGTTCCACTCCCAGCTCAGGCACTCTCCACCTGATGAGTCTACATAAGGACGAAAGCGATCGTGTGCTGTCGGTATTGGTCAGAGCAACACTAACACTTCCCCAACTGGGAATTTCGTTTATGAAGCTAACTTTGATAGGCATCTCAAGTTGCCGTCTTAATTTAACTGCACCTGCGGTAGCACGTACCTTGGCCGACCAGAATCATAAAGTATATTCCACAAGTTTTGGCTTTGAGCAGTCCCGAGCTGCCTCCTAGTTTGATCGTTCGGCATCTGCTCCATTGCGCTGTGTGCGGAAACCCCCCGAAAACATTCAGGATTATCCGTAGACAAAATGATCCAAGTGTTCTCCAGTCTGTTGTGGCTTTCACAATCTTTGCAAAGAATTTGATCACGTGAACAGCCCAGCCTTTCCTTACTAAAGCTTAGATCCTGTCATTGAGTGCAGTGACATTGATCGCTGCAACCTGATTATTCGTATCGATCCCTTTCACTGGCGTTTAGTTTATCCTGCCACTGTATATACGTAAGCGGTTGACTGGAACTAGCAAATTAAACTAAATTCAGACCATCCTGCAAACAGTTGTTTGTTATTACTATCTTAACATTTCTCCGTCCGTTATCGAGTTTCTCTGGGCAATTTGAGGACATACTATTTTGGTTCGTTATAGCCCACCTGCTCATCGACCTATTGTGTTCATACCGGTGGAGCGCATATTGTAGTAGAGAAATTAATTGAACTTATCACCGGATTTTCACTATACTAGCAAACTGCAGCAGACATGTTTGCCTAGAGTTAACTTGCTGCGTTCTCCTTTTCTCCTCAGTTCCACCTTATCCACTCGGGATGCCTCCCAATGGTAAGCCATTTTTATGCGCCGATTTGCGCTGACTATCTTCAGTGCTTCACTTTGCGTTCTTTTGGTCTGGGTGACAGTCGGACATCTCAAATGTTAGGTACTCTGTGGATTTTCCGCCGTCATCATTCCTCTTATACGTACTCGCTCGCTATCACTGGATCTGTAGCGGTGATACACACCGGTTGTGGTCATCTTGGTGCATTCCTCTCGCCGACTTTTCACACAGCCCTCATGCTTACTAATGCACGCTTTGGCGTCTAGGTTTACGGCGCTGTGCTCCAGGTTAATGTGATCCGACATGTATGATGGACAAGTATCCGAGCATACCATTTGAGGCCATTTATCGTCCCACCCAACAGGTGCATTTTGTAGTGGCGGCAGTAACTATACTGGACTTATTTCAGTGCTACTACTGTTATAACTACCTTTGGAAGATGGGACATCTTCCGCTTCAGAGTGTAATTACCCTTGCGCTGAAAGCACTGTATACAGAATTACCATCAACACCGGCCTGTTTTGTTTGAAGATCTGGACCATCTTCAGGTCGGTGATCAGACGAAATACTGGTCGCTCGGATTGGGTGTTCACTTGCTGTGATGTTGGCCGAGCTTGACAATTGGCTTGCAACGTTTCGTCGAGGTGACGTCGTCAGTGCATTGAAGTGAGCGGATTCGTAGCAGAAGCTGGTGAGCGGCGAATCTTGGATATGCACTTGACAACTTATCACTGGCTGCCAATCGTTTCGGGCTGTGTTCTGAACTCTCGAAATGCAGTCTTTTTCCACGATTTGTAGGGACCCACCCTTGGTAGTGGTCAGTTAGAAGTCATTCAGAAGTTCAAGTATCTAGGCAGCTATACTAACGCCTGTGGCATAGATGAGGCCACGAACTGTCTACAGGAAAAACTCAAAGTGCTTTTGTCAATATCCGCTACCAGCGGTGCCGGCGTGATCACTCCTGCCCTAGAAGGCAGAGTTTACATCGCAGTCGTACGTTCAACCCTCCTGTACTGTTGTGAAACCTAGCCCAGCAGATCGACAGACATAAACAGGCTAGTTACGTTCGACCATTGCTGCTTACGCAGTTTGGTTCATGTCTAGTCTGAATACCGCGTGCGAAATGAGCGTGTTCGACGTCTCGTCTTTGTTGCAGGAAGTACGAGCGAATTGCTCAGCACCATAACGTCAGGCTTCAATGGCTGTATCACGTGTTGAGCATGTCAGCACACCGACTTCCGCGACGCGCGTTTTTTGCGTTACCGGAGTGTGGATGTAAGAAAATGTGAGGAGGCCAAGTGATGACCTGGTCAAGAGGTATGAAGACGCTTCGGATTTGGCATCGGTTGGTGCCTTCTGACCGCCGAACTCGGGTCTGAAGAACAATGTGCACATTTGGTTGGATATCGTTATCAACTTGGCTAAGAACCAACCAAAGTGGCGTTTGTGTTGTGTTTCATTGCCCCTCATCCTTCCGCTTACCTTCCCTCTCCAACCAAAATCTCATACCCGGTGGATATTATGATACAAAACTGTTCTTTTGTAGTACACATTGTGTGACTGGATTGCGACCGCAATCTTAATGTAGATCGCAATTCGCATTGAAGCGAACCTATGTCAATTCATTCACTAGGACCGTACTTGAAGTAGAAGGAAATTGGGTGTTGTCCGGCGGAAAACACTACACTGTATAACTAGTTCCTTGTTTTTATTTTCTATTCTATAAGGTTTCATATCACGCTTTTTCCGTACATCTTTTATTTTTATTGCGGTACAACATCCGAGTGTTTCTCGTCTTTTGCCAACGTGTGCTGATGATTTTGATGATGTATGAGCCGTTTATCTGAACGGCGACACCATTTCGATTTCCTGCACGCTCCTTCATGCCAGCATGTGCGCACCACGCTTTCATTCTGCTTACTGGACTCCTTGTCTAGCAGCACACTTGTTCGCAGACGTGATCCACACACACACACACACCCTTTCAGTACTCATTGTTTTCCTATATCTTATCCGACATTCTTCAAGATCGCCTGTTCCGCTTCCATGAAACCTCACCGCACAGTAGCACTAATCCAGCCTCAGGTGTTGGTTCATACGTTAATATAGACACAAACTTGATAGTCGAACTCGACTCGTTCCACACACTGGGCTTCGCTTCTTTCGTCGTGAGCTTCACACACCTCTAAAATTATACTCTTCGGTATTTGCGGCATCTCTCATAGTTATGGCGTGGTCCTGTGCGACGACGTAGCAACAAACTTTAGTATACCTCATTTGCTCAGCTAATTCAAGTCAACCATGCCTCTTCTCAGTCAATTGCATCCATAGCGCTTTCAAATTCCTCCTTGAAGAAAAATCATGTTCTTCTATAGATCTCTCAAGATGGTCTTTATAGCTATCAAATTGCATCCAACTAGCGCAAACGCCCCTAGTTGCGTTCTGTTCACTGAGTAACCAATCCCAATTCAGCCAGTAATATACCCGGTGTACTCACATGTTATACTACCGGCTGATTTCGTATTAGTCACTCAACGAACAGTACGCATTTACTAGGAGCATTCGGGCTAGTTAAATGCAAATTAATAGCATTAGGAACCATCTTGCAAATTCTATAGAGGAGCATGATTTCCTTAGGGAGGAATTTGAAAGGACTATGGATGCAATTTCCTGAAAAAAGGTATCCCGGCTTGCCTCTGTCTGATAACATGGACGTCCGAAGTCGTTGAGCCACTGATTTGGCATCTGGAAATGTAGTGACTCGGTTTACTCCCTAAGATTACGGTTCGCGCTACTCGTCTAATCGTGCATTGGTCCAGCCAGTTTATCCGTATGCTTCGACCTGTCTTGCTTACCGCTGCTTCGTCTGTTTTGTCGAGGCTTCACAGTGGGCACACGACAACTAGTTTTTACCCAGATAGAAACGTATGCCGCCTGTCTTGGAATGTACTCGTTTATTTGTTGTTTATTTACTCATTCATTTACGAGAGTATGCCGGTACACACGTCACCCTATGTGGAGGCCTCGTGACCAATCTCTTCGCCTGGATACCTTAGCTGACTCGAATGCGCCGTTAAGTTCGGCTTCTTATCTTTAGCCATTCCACTTTTCTATTGTACCCTTATCCTTTTATTTGTAATTTTGCATTTTTTCCCTCTATTTACTCGTATTCTCATCGTAGCGGTTCGTGGCAACCTGATGCACCTTGCTTCGGGGCTTTGTTCAAACTTGAACAAGTACTTTGCACTGAATTCTCCCTCATCTCACTCTATTTGGTCCTCTGCAACTTAGTCCGCTACCTTGATATCGGCTTCCCAGCCGCAATTGATTTCTAATTAAGTAGAAATTCATCACGTCTATACTTCTATCACACACTTGACTAAACACTGTACGGCCGTTTTATCCTTTCGGTTGTTAGCAGCGCGCATTCCATATTACCCCTTTGGGCTAGAACTCGCAACTCGACTGTTACGTCTGTGCTTGAGACCACTGAGCTACTGAGGATGGAAACGACCATCGTGATTAAGTTACTGGATGTAATATAGCGCCGCTCATTATCCACTGACTTGCACGTTATTACCATGCAAAGGACAAAGTCCCGCTTCACTGGGCGACGCGCTTGCCAAACTTAAGCCGCCAATTAATCTATAACATTACCAGCAGTCTGGTTCACGTACTGATTACTAGGGAATAGTAGGCGGATTTGAATAGATTGAGTGGATCGTGAGTGGTGCTGTGTCACGGCGTTCCTTACTACCCTCCCGCAACTCAGTGGCCTTAACCACAGCCTGTTAACTGCCGAGTTGCGGATTCTAGTTTCACGGGGACCAAATGGAATGCGCACTGCTGACGATCCCAGAAAGGATGAAACGGCCGTACAGTGCTTCTCTGGGCCTGTGGCGCTTCTCTCTCTTAGTCTAGATGTAATGAATTTCTACCCATACCATTCACATCCTTCTGTCACTCCCTAGGGATAATGAATCACATTTTTATCCATACTGCCGCGAGTTTATTTGTCAGCATATGCCTTTAACATCCCTTTACGATCAGCGTGTATCGAATATGTAAGTTGTGATGGCGTACCCTTTATTTGGTCGGTCCGTAGCTTAGAGGTAACGAGCTTGTCTTGTAATCTTGCGGTTAGAATCCGCATAGGGGTGGGCGTCCTCGCGGTATACTCAGTCCGCGTGCGACTGGTGGCGGTCGCACAGCAGCGAAACGCCGTTACGGCGTAAAGCTGTCACTTGAGTATTTTACTCACTTCTGTAACCAGAAGTGAATGCTTAACGGAGGATGGATAAACAGCCTTGCTGGCCACCGGCTTCTGTGTGGACTGCTACCGAACACTAAGAACGCGAATGAGCCACCCGGCTGTCAACCGCCTTCGTGATTCGCCCCACTGCCTTGCGGGTGGGGTCCCTTAAGTCAACCCTCGACCTGGGCAGCCGAGAAGATCTCTGCCCACACAACACATAAACCTACCCTTTATTTGGATGTACGGGATTTTACTATCGCACCGCTACTCACCTCTTACACTTCATCAAAGTCAAACTGCTTCATAGCACTGTACGCAATTCACGTGTAGGATGAACTGTGGAATTTTCGTGTCATCTGCGTTTCCAACTCTCTTTGTGTGGGGCGAATTCCACACTGCCACATCCTACACACATGATAACACTTATTTTCTCCCCTCAGAAAGCGACATAGTGGACTACCGACGATTCTGTTCACCTCACCCGGCTTTTCGGCCAACTTGGTTGCCGGTACGGGGGATTAAAAGCGTACGCTCACATTACACACACACACACACACACACACATACACGTTGCAACATTTCTGTATGCGTAGATTTCGTTACACGGTTGCACCAGATGGAATTTGGCTTGCAACGTCCACATACTTGTATGTCTGTCTCCACTCATGTTAGACTACTCATATCTATTTCTTTTAGCATAATGGGGATGCGGACGGGCTATCGAATTACAGCCATGGTTACCGGGGATGGCAATGGAGCAACGCAAGCGAGCTGTGTCACTGCTAGGGAGATGACTGTTTGTATCCGTGTATTGCATAAGGAAAGTATACTTCCTTAAAGTATACTTTCTGACCTCGTGAACTTATCTAGCATTCGTTTGTAAACAACTTATTTCATATGCTCCTTAACTTAAGGTTTATGTCACCGTTTCCTTATGCATTAATCGAGTTATTTTCTTTGTATCTCTCAAGTGATTGGCTGTTGTTTGAAATCCCCGGTGTGACTACGCTTGATGTGCATGTTGACAAGGTGCCTACCTGTCTATTACCAGATACCTCGTCCATACTGGCTCCAGGAGACAGTTTGTCGTTGCTGGAGGGGACGGGGTGCACGGTCCTTGTGGCCGTGTTAGGCTCGAAGAGTGGTTCCATGCACTCAGTGTGGAGCAGACTACGGTCCAGCTACCGCCTTGTGTGCACTTGATTCCCAAATACAGCGTGCTTGTGTTTTTCTGTGAAGGAGTGTGGGCCGGCTCCGTTGATGAAACATGGTTCCCATCCGCATGCCTCCCGGTCTTATTCTTTCGGGTCTACACTGGATATTGGATATGTGGTTAGAGCTGTGAGTGGTGCAGCGCAAGCCATCCATGGTCGCTCTGTGCGCGCAGGCGTCCTGTGGCTTGCCACAGTGACAGACAAATCCGAAACCGGATGCTGCCAACCCATCTCCTCGATTATGACCGAACGCTTCGCTCTCCATAGACTAAATCGTCTTCATGTTGGTGGCATATCGGCCTGTTGAGCAAGTGCAGAACGTACAACTTCCATACACTTTTTGTGCTATTGTGCAGGTCAGAAATCGGGCAATCGTATGCGCAGAGTATTGCTACTATCCGATTAGACCGCTCTGTGAGCGTCAGCGAGAACCGTTAGTTGTTGGTTTTGTTTGAGACGAAACCCATTTGGTCTGTCTCAGTTATCCGTCACATTTGAACCGGTAACATTGATTAGGTCGTTTCCACTATTTTCCCCTTGCTCGTCCTCCTACTTTTGTTTTGCATTCTGTCGTTGAGTAGAATCATGCGGTCGTCAGTCGACGACGTGCCATCAACGGGTGGAGAAATTGACTGATAAGGTTAGTCATAGTGATAGGTGTCTTCGTGACTTGTTGCCTCGGAATGAGTCACATCAGTGGTTGCATACATTATCCGACTTAACACACTCACGGAGTTCCGGACATTCCTGTATTCGGTTTCTTGTATCTAGCCGTAAACCTTTTAACTTTTGGTAATGTTTGGTTGTTTTAACTGCTGACATCTTCATCAGTACGATTTCCTTTTCCTCCACTCTTCTCTTTCCACACTATGCGTTTTTTTCCATGCTCCTCACCACCGCTGACTATCGTGTTTGTGGTTCTGTAACTCATGGCAACGGAACTCGGTTGCCAAATGCGCGGTTATTTTCTCGACGCATTGGGCTTGTGTTGAACATGCATCCCACAGCTACGACTTCCTTGCTTTATGTCGCGTACTGGGTAGATGGCCTGGCAAACAAGCTGATTTTCGGGATCTAGATGACAATAATGGGCCTGTTTTGTTCACGCGGAAGCTACCCGGACGACAGTTGACCACGGTAAGACCAAATCCGTGACGAGCTGTTTGTGCACACACATACACAGCAGGGTTGTTGAGACGAATCACGATCACCTCCGCCAGTACACACATTCCGCATCTGGTAAGTTTGGAATGAACACTCCTCACACGGTAGATTGGGCGAAAGGCTTTAGTGTTAACGATCGGATGATTCGTTTGGACTACGTGTGCGACTATTGTGGCTGTGCACGTTTTGTTCCGCGGCTTCACGCTGCGTGATGCTGGCGGAGTCGTTCAGACACACTTCTCGTGGTGTGACCTATGTAACTTGTCTCACAGTAACAGGTATGCCCACAGGGGGAGGTGACGTCCACAGACAGTTTCCTTTTAGCTGGTGTATCATGGGCGTGGAAGTGAAGATGACTCGAGATTGTGCAGCTCCATGGATGTTGACGGTCGATCTTAATCGCTTGCTAATGTGTTCGAAATTATCTCTTGATTGGTAAAGATACGTATACTGCTTTCATTCCTACAATGGGAGCTTTGGTGACTATACAATGTGTTCCACTACTCCTATCAATGAACCCTTTGGGATAGCCATTATTATGAAACGCTTTTCTTGTTGCGACAAACTGCTCTAGTTATGCCTGCGGAGCATATTTTTGTCGCTCTTCCCACATGACACCGGACTAGGTTCTGTTTTTCTCGCATAGGTACAGAACTATCAAAGTGCATCTGTTGTCCTATCCATGTCGCTTACATGTGGATTCTACGCTGCAGCGAGCCGTCTGGTAGGCATGGCGTCTGAACATCCAGGAAAGCCCAACCTTAATTTGATCCAGGTTCGTGGGGGCCCGGTTGGTTTTCCGTAATAACTCAACCTAGTCCACGGAGCCGTCAGCTACGCACATCACGTCACCGACATAGTGTTTCTCGAGTGCCAGCTGCTCAGTCATTTCACTCAGCAGACCTTTCTCTGGTTTTGTGATCACACCAGCCAACAAGGGACCCAATAATGAACTCCATAGCTAGCCCGTCTTTTTCTCGGTCTAACTGTCTAGCAAAGCGAAATTGGATGTCATGGGTACTCCGAATGAAGCAGCATTCTCACTTCTTCCATCAGCAAGCCAATTTGCTTACCTGTGCGGTCGATTTGCTTGGCAATATAATCGGTGGTTTCCCTAACTGGAATCTCGGTAAACAACGACGTCACAACAAGCAAAATAGCTACTTGTCATACACCTTTTGAGTTCCAATGCTATCGAGAAACTCGAACGTGCCACACAATCTACGAGTCGCTAGCTCCCTACTTGTTGGTTCCAGTAGTTAGGCCAAACACTTCCAACTTACGATGCGTGGTCGCTCATATATAATATGGGTGGTAAAGAGGCTCCCTGTTTATATATCTTGGGTAATCCATACAATCTACGAGTAATGTTACCGACGAGATGAATTCTTTCGAATGTCAGCGACTCAATTAGCTCTTTTTCTTTCATTTGTCAGAGAGATTTGGATATGGTCTTTTCAACTGTCGAGCTTCTGTACTTCTCATTGAACGTTTCCACGAACTTTGAGGGATCCCCAAGTAATATATTCATATAGAGTAACCCTTCGGGAAGCAAAACGAATTTTGGACCGTAATCGGAACTATCTTATTGTGGACCAAGGAGCATGTTTTACTGTCTGCAAAATGGAATCCTGACCTGGATCGATCAGCCACCATGGCATCGTGCTAGCATCCATCACGCTTTATGGTAATTCTTCGCTGGCACACAACTATATTGATCCCGCTAGTGAGGGTGAATGAGAAAGTTACTTGAGACCCACCTGGCATCAAGGCCCCCGCGCCTTAACAACAATTGCTGAGTATTGTGTGCGAATGGGCGGCATCGATGAGATAGTTTCCTTACCAATTCTATTGCCATGCGTCAACCTTCTTTCTTAGATACTTCAGCCTCAGAGACACGTTAACTATACACCCTTACTAAGGAGGCGGCTACTGGTGGCGGCGCCACTGCTGCTGGTTTGGTGCTGCCAAGTCTAGGTTGGGGTACATAGGCTTCGGCATCGAAATCGCGACAGATCAGCGGCACCCAGTCTACCGGTCGGTGACTTCATTCCCCCAGGTTTTTAGGTAGATGACTCCTCTCCCTTAACCTCATCGTAAATCAAGGGAACAAAACAAGTGATCGGATGATACAAGTAGTACCCACTCAAACCATGCCTCACACTGTCTCGTCTAATCGAGAGCACCTTGCTGCTAGCACATCTCGTTATCCGGAACCATCTTTTCCGCTGTTAATTGGCCCTGTCTATGGGCGCCTTTTTGCGCTTCCGTGTAACAACCTGGCTTCGTTCCTCTTTCACGTCGATGTTGGCCGTTGATCCATGGACCTTAATGGGAGATCTCAACTTGTAAGCTAATGCTTCCATGTGATATCTGTACTGAAGACACTGGGGTGTAGGTAATCCGCTTGCTAATCTTTACTTGTCCTCACTATACTGTTGAAAGTCGGCGACGGCAGTGGGAAGAACTACCGAAAATTCACCTTGAGAAAAAGGGGGAAAAACTTGATGTCATCAAGCGACCTGGGAGAACCGGAAGTTTGAATTCTAGCCGACCATGGGATTCTGTATCCGCTGCTGTGCTCGACTCTCAGACTCCATCCTATGATACGCCACTCACTGACTCTGCTTTTTCCCCTCTCCTTCCTTTGTAGTGCCTCCTTATCCAGTCGGACCGGTCATGAATGGTAAGTGCCATTATTATTTTGAACCTCCTATATCGTTTCGCTCGGTTGACACACCAATTGTTCTAATCAATAACCTTAGAGAGCATGCATTTATCCGCACTACCTCTGTCTGTGCCATTCACCTTTGTTCATTTCGTCCTCCCAACTCTCCCGCTTGGGGGTCCTGCTTGACTTGCCACATAGGCGCTTCATTTTGCTAAACTCGGCCGATGTTCGTCAGACTCTATATATGCCTTCAACAACTAATCCTGTAGAGTCTGCTGATATGTTTATTTTATCAAATCGTTTTTCTTAGTTCTTTTTGCTATTTGTGTTTGGGCTGTCATCAATTACCTAAACCAAAAATCACTAAGTTTTCCTTTATTTGGGCGGGTTTATTGATCGTATGCGCACTTTTCATATCATCTGGTGGATTACGATTTCTCGATCCCTCCTTGTCATTAAAATAAGGTCATTTCGCATAAGCGGCGCAATAATTCCTGTTTCCACTTTATGTGTTTGTGCATCCCATTGGCTACCGGTCATCTAATGTAGCTTAGATATCATCACATTGCACACTTGACAGGTAGTTCCGACTGTGTCAGGCTAGTGTGCTATTTTGATGCGTTCAGTTAAGAAATGTTGGTCGTATGATCAATTTCTGACCATCAAGTGAAACAAGGTTGCCTCTCCAGTCACGCGGCATTTACTTTAAAGTGGACCGCAAGTCAATTGCGATGCATCATTCAAAGTTTTCATTCGCAATGGTCTTACATTCGCAAACCCATTGAAACCATTGTTATCGATCGACGACTTCCACTACTTTGTGACACTAGGCTTACAGCGGTAGCGAAAAGAGCCAATCGTCTAGCACTCAGCTATCAATCAACTTCATGTGACCTTGTTTTTGCATCCTTTGTTAGTTACTTTTATGTGACCGAAGAAAATGTCCGCAATGACAGTGTCAGCTCACAAAATACGTATTTTGATATCCTCATTTAGTTTTATGATGCGAATTCTGTTTCGAGGTTTTAACAGTCTTCGTGCTTCTATCCCGTTGCCTTGTATTAATCCCCTGGGCACTTACGCTATGCTATTATACCAGCAGTCGCAGCAGCTGCATCAGCCACAGGAATATCAATTTGACACCGCTAGTACCAGTTACCGGGCCCCCATTTCTCAACTACAACCTTAGAGCGAAGCAAGATTCCCTGAAGGAAGGAGAGCAGGCATGTTTCCACCAAGAATGACATTGTTATTGATCGTGTTGTAGTTGCAGCATGTGTTAGGGTGGCTATCTGTATCACTGTCTGATAGTTGTGTCCCTCGGTTTCAAGCGCTCCTTCCATTCCGACGATCTCTCTGTTCTGATCAATATATTTAACCGTAAAGGCACCCTCATCAAGTATGCACCGTTTGCTTTGCTCTATGCGCAAACACCATGACTCGCTTTGATGGCTGCATCACATTATCCGATCCAGATCAGTCAGCAAGCGACGATCATGGAAGTTTTCCAATTTCCCTATTTCCCCAAACCTACGATGCACTCCGCCATGGACATTTCCCTTGTAAGATTCCACGATGCAGCTGTCAAGCCTGTCCCCGGAGAATTGTCCCATCCGGTTTGCGTAAGTGATACTGTCTTGTTTTGAGGCCACAGCACCGGGCCTGAGTCGGACGCACTGAACTTCCAGGTCTGAGTCCATGTGGCTCACTTTGCAGGTAGCTTGATTCATTTCAATACATGACCCGTACTCGGCTTCAGTTGTGCGGTTACTGTCGTCTTCTAGCCGAAATGCTCGCCTAAAACTTGTGTAGTACTCACTCGCTTGTGTGGCCGAATTGACGACGACGCAGGATAATCGGAGCAGCAATGAAGTCGTTTTGCTGATTCATCTTCGCGCGATTAGGCATCCGGTTTGACCGTACAGTTTTGACAAGATGTGATTACCTTAATCCGGAAGTCAAATCAGACACAACATTAGCTCCCTTTCTCAACCCCTCTTGTTGTTCCTTTTCATTATGTTTTCCTCACTTCGTATTTGTATAGTAGCTAACCAGTAGTATTAACTACTGCTGATTTTTCCCAACCTATGCGCAGTTCTTGATTTAAGAAGCTACGTGGCATTACCTCGATTTTCATTTCTCCCTCCCTGTTGTTCAACTGGGTTCTGAACCTTTCACTCACTACCTGCTCTTGAGGCTGAATACACTTGCTAGCATCGTCTCCTTTTCGTTTCACTGCATCGCCACACTAACTTGTAGGTGTCTATCCGGGTTTAGGATGTTCCACTTCTACGTATCCGAACTTAACGGGTCTGCGACTCCGTGCTACTGAAATCAAATTTCCTTTTGTAATGTTTTCACTTGGTTTTCCCCACCTCGAATCCCTTGCTATCCATCGTTTAGCTTTGGGGCCATCCACCCTTTGCGTACACCGCCGCACATGCATCCGTGTCATACCTTTGGAGATAGATAATATTGGCCATCTCTCGTCACTGTCTCCGCGCATCATGTAACGTATTTTTTGTCCATTCTCAGCTCCACCCTATCCTCCTGGAGTGCCTCTGAATGGTATGTCGGTCTTCAACATTTGTTTTACATCTATATGGATTGCTACACTGTTTTTTATTTAACACTTGGGGCTCTCCTTGGCACCTTTGCACGTATCTAATCTCGCTTTCCTTTCCTCGCTGATGCAACTTTTGCGACCCATTTAGCCGATTCTGGGCGATTTGGTAGCATATCTCACCTTTTTTACCTGTTTTGTTTACGCGTTTGACTGAATTAATTTGCCAACCTCATGGTCGATTTGCCTACGCACCAAGGTTCAGTGTAGACCCACTTGTTCTTTGCGGTTAGTCATTTGCCTTGTTGAGTCTGTCCAGTGTTCTCCTCATCTGATCGATATCCTCTCTTACCTAATCCTACTCGTCTCTTCCCAAAGGGGAATCAAATCACCCTCTTTGTTCAATGCGTCTTTTGACCGCCTTCTGCGTCGGCTCGCTCTACTATGCCACCAGGTCCAACCGTGTCTGTATGCCATTAGTCTCTTCCAGTATACTCTTGCATTCCTTCTTTTCGTACATATGGCCATTGAGGTTCGTACGTTAGCATGGGAACTGGCATCTTCGGTCGTGCTGTTGCACCGTCGCAACTCGTGAACTTCTTACGTTGAACCGTTATTAACGCCGCTATGCTGTGTCGGATAATGGCTTCATTGCGCTAACTACAAGCACACAACGCACCTCATGTGAACGCCTTCGGCCGACGTTGTTTTGTTAATGCATGCGCTGTTCACTTTTATGTAAGCATCGACAGCACACCGAGACGTGGTACCGACGCCTCACTGTCACACGGTTGCCAGTGTTTACACAGGAGCTTGGATCCTGCAGCTGATCCACCTCGGTCCGAATCGGTAGCCTCTTTCAGTTGCATTTCAGATAACTGAACCAATCAACCATCGGTGGAACCACTTCGGCGCGCTACTTTCCCTTTTGATCTTCAGGGGACACAACATCGGAATCCTCGGTGGCGGTGCACCAGCCTTTCATACTGATTTTTGTTTCCTAAGGTCATACTGATCATAACGATATGTAATATGAATAAAACGGGGGTCCTTACACCTTATCAACACCATAGTGTCACAGCGTCTAAGTACCGTCTAACGATTAGGCTACATTGATCAAATAACTTCCTTGTGATTTCTACCACCTCTATACGTACGCTTATTCCGCGAATGTTGCACACATACACTTAAACCATCCAGTCGAGGTGGAAAACGACAACAACCACACTAGCAATACGGTTCACAAACCGTGTTCTGTAGTGCTGCTTCTAATCAATCACGGATTAAATCGCTAGGAATCTATCTTAGAAGACAAAACGATTCAATGGCTACCAGTCTAGCGGTCATTCGGCTCATTATGCACGACCACCTTGGCAATTGTTCCTTCGAGTGTTGCACCGCGCAATATCAGCCATAGGTAACGAAGCTGTCCTCAGCCAAAAATGAGCGGGCGCACGTGATAAGTACCCGAAGTAGTGCAACTTATCTAGCTTTATTTGTTCATCTATCGATTTGACCTCTTTGTCTCTGCCAAACATTCGCCTGTACATCTTATCGTTGTGGACACGCCGATGTTGTTAACTATCCTCTGTGTGTATCTATGGCTAACGGCCCGAAGGCGCATCACCACATCTTATCGACGTTAGTTTCTCATGACCTGACCTGATCGATTTGTTGGACGTGTGCGATCAGCGTCTGGCACTCGCATTCCACTCCACTAAGTGTGAGAGAGGGGAAATTTCGTCCTAACTATAGACTGCTCTTAGCACTCTAGTCGGAAATCTTTGCTCCCAGTTGAACACACGCCTTACTCAGCCTTCACTGGAAATTCATGCTTCTCGTTACTGAGACGTACGTTCGTCATTTTCTTCACTTCGCTTCCGAGTACCGTGGCGATTTGCATTGCCCTACCCCTCACACGTTCCGCACGGGATCGCCAGTCGTCTCACACACGTCCGCACACTTTAAAATCCGCGGTTCTGATCCACGGTTCTGTTTTCTTGTTTGTCTCCTCTCTCGCTTTCCCCTTGTCCTTCACATCAGTCGCTCTGGTTCACACAGCTTCCGTCCTGTGTTTTCTGTCTCTCGACTTCCCCCCTCTGATTATTAGACTCTCCGTATGTGGTCTTTCCCAGTGAGTTATTGCGCTGAATAGATGTGTGACCTAACCGGCATTGTGTGTGTGTGTGTGTGTGTGTGTGCACTGCTGTCTCGTAAGAGTTCTTCAATGTGTGCTGCTTTACTTTTCGATGTGCATAGCTTTCCAAAGCAGCCGCCTTAGCTCACCCGAATCAGACCAACCGCTTTCCGCTGCGTCTATTGTCTTCTTTGATTTTCTAATTTTCAACCCCACCTCAAACTTTGTACCGAGATTTGAATTTCAGGTACTCATTTAGCTTCTTCGATGTGCTATAGCAATCCAAAAATTCCCATTTAGCTACGTGAGAGCGCTTAATTAAGAATTCTTTTCTGTAAATCTCGTCAGACTCAGACATTTACGTAATGCGGGTTACATGGTAATTGTACCGAGTTTGGTTGACTATTGATTAGGGTGTTAAACTTAATGGCCAAATCAATAAATTACGATGTCACTGAAGATAGCAGCATAAGTGCAATCAGAGATTAATTAGAGTAAAAATCGAATCAAATGTTTATGTACCGAAAGATGTGGCCCACGACGCCTGTACGCACAGCTCCCGGGGCGAGTTTAGATAGCCTCAGCAATGGATAGGAGATGTTTACGGTATCCGCACGAGAATGTTTCCGGAATGGACTACATAATCATGAAATCCTTTTCAGAACCTGCGTGACCGTACTCGAGGAGGTGCGACATGATGGCGCTATTAGAAGACCTCACTTCACCTCAGTAAAACCACTTTGGAATGTGCCCGCGAATCCCATGCAATACAGGAGCGCGAGTATTAATAAGCAAACGTTGATCAAGTCAACTTAAGCAGTCTATCGTTCAAAGGTTTTGCGAGTAAAGGCTTGCGCAGGCTAGCCGCGAAATTGGTCTTCTCAACCGCGTCCTTCAGTTGTTTTGCCATGGTATCAGCCACAATATCATCTTTGAGTGGTGAATGCACAAAAAGTTCCTTCTTGGGTACGCTCGTCCTCTGTAGTTTTCTATTACGTTCTTTAAGATAGTGGAGATTGAATTTATCCGGGTACCCATTTTCTTAGGGCGTCCATAATCCCCTGCAGTTCATGGGTAACGGTGTCCGGCATACAAATACTGCGCACCTGAAAGACAAGAGTGCGAACTAGCTTCCTTTTTTACTGTAAGGGAACCGCACTGTAAAAGTTATTTTACTGCCCTTCCAAGTGTTTTTTATACGCTTTCCTGCTGCACGATCCATCAATGTTTCTGACAATATATACGTCCAGAAATTGTAGTCCTTCTCCGGACTTATGCTCACAGGTGAAGTTGTAGCGACATTCTACCGAATACACATAGTCAAACAAAACAATGGAAATCACTGGAAAAGAAGGTTAATCGCCGCATCATATGGCACATGAGCTGGAGGTGAGCAACTCAGTTCAGCTATCGTGGCGCAATAACAGCAATAGGGAACCTTTTTGTTAGTTTGCACATACTACTTTTTTATTTTTCGATTGTCGAGCATCAGAACCTGAATCTAAGCAAGTGTGTACACAAATCTCCTGATGGTTTCGTTTGCGCGCCGTTTCCTGAATTGTTCCCAGCCATGGACACTCCTCCTCTGGTCTCCAACCAGTCAGACGTATGGATCCAACGGCGGCAAGGCGTCAAGTCAGCGATTTCCTATGCTGTGTGGACGGCGGGCCACGGCTTTATCACTTCTAGCCCAGCTCTGCATGAGGGAAAAGGGCGCAATAGGGCAAACGCTCAGCTCACATACGCAGGACGTGACCATGCCATCAGAACTGACGCAGCAAAATCAACTTGTTGAAAGGAATGCTCGCATTCTATGAGACACGATGTCTGAGTTCACTGTTGCAAATGTGTTGTTGCCACCACACGCTAGCAATCCTCCTCAAGCACCCATTATCAAAGACCTAGAGCCTGCGCATGTCCTCTACGTGAATTGGCCATGACTTATCGCCATATAGAAACACTACCCGAACGGTAGCATTGTAAACATGACTCTTAACCAAGAAGAAGACATCTCGGCGGCTCCACAAGTGTTGTAGGCTGACAAACGCAGACCGGGCTTTAGCGTTACGTGGGGAAATTCTCTTGTTGATAGCGCCACCAGCAGACACGCAGCTTCCCAGGTATACAAAGCTGTGCACGTTCAAGAGTGAGCACGGGAACGGGCGAATGCTAATTCTGGAACAACACTTCGCTCTTCGACGAGGAGAAGCACATTCTGTGTCACGATGCTTCAGTCACCAAACGGTTTGGAAATGTTTGCATGCTCTGTGAATCGTCACCAAGTAGGGCGACGTCATCTGCATAATCTAAGTCGGTTGCTCGCTTACCCGGTAGTAGTTGCATTCCAAATGTTTATAACCCTCTAGAACTATGGACAGGACGTCTTCAATCGTAAAATTGAAGAGGAATGGAGAAGTAGGGCAACCCCGTCGTACTCTACTATTGACAGCGAATGATGAAGAAAGCTTACCATAGACTCTCACTCTGCCGATGTGAAGCTAGAGTGCGCTTAGGATGGCAGTGTGCTTTTCTGGGACCCCGTGCTTTACAAAGCAACGTCATAGCGCAGTTCGATCAACTGAGTCGAATGCACCATCTATGTGTAGGAATGCAACGGTGGTGTTCGAGGATTTAGCGGAGCTTGAAGATTTGGTCTACACACCCATGGTCAGGACAGAAGTCAGCTTCTTCTTCCCGGTACTGTGATTCACTAATCGGCGAAGTAGAATGGATGCCAATTGCTTAGAGGCGATTGAAATGAGACTAATCAATCAGTGCTTGGTGCATGAAGTGCGAGCACCCTACTTAAAAATTGGAACAATAACTGACTCGCCCCATGAAGAAGGCACCTTTTCTTCAATCCAGATT